AAAGCAAATTTCTTGGTTGCTTCATCGGTATATATATATATTTGTTTACGGTTTGTATGGTTGTGCTTGGGGAGATCGATCTAGGAGTTGCACGTTTTTCTTTTCTTTTCCCGGTTCTCTTTCCGGAGATACCAGTAGTGTTGAACGAAATTACTTTCGTTAGCTGGTACAAATTAAACTAGCATTATTATGGCCGGGGACGACTGATTTGTCGGGTATATGATTTTCTTTTTATTTTAAACAATGTTTTTGGAACCGAACCGGCCGATGTTGAATTGGAAAAGCTAGTGGTTGATGGTTCAACGGTTAATCATCATTATAGACTAGTTGGTAAACTATTGACAGAATCATTCATGTACTATAACATAAAAGACATACATAATACATTAATTAGGAGTGAAACGATCACTAATCATAAACAAATTCAAATCTCTGTTGTCTAACACCAATAAGTTCTGACATAGTATTCAAACTATCTCTAAAATGAAATCAACTTTTTAATTAAATTCAAGTTAGTAATCAGTTTGGCTATCCATAGTGGACCTTATAAAGCTGACAATAAGGGTGGAAAATAAAAAGAAAATAAAGCATAAATAAAAATATTAATTGAGGTTGAATGATTTTATTTTATTTTAATGTATTTTCTTAATCCTTTGTGGTTAAAATTGCGGACCAAACAAGCCGGGGTGCATGGTTCATCTAGTTTCTAATTTTTATCAGTTAGTTGAAGTATGTAATAACGAACATAGTAATATTTATATGTTTTTATTATTATTATTTCATGATAGATAGCTAATTGATTACATGTGTGCAATTGAGTTCGGACGTTGACATCCACAAACATTGCTTCGTATTTAGTATTTCTGGTGTAAGATTGTGGAATTTCTCTATCATTGTTAACCAGTATAAATGTAGACCGTAGGAAAATCCTAATAGTAAATCTAATACGACTCGAAAACTACTAGTCTTAACCATAATAAGTTTAATGATTATGATACTAACAAAGATGATAGGAGACTGGTTTCCTTGAAAGACTGGGACTCTATCAAAATGAAATCAATGACTCGAAACTAGAAGGCCAATGACAAGAAAACAATCTACACGTACGGCTGATAAACCACCTTCTCGTGAAGCATGATGTAGAAACTACATTGAAGATAACATAATGATAGTGCATTACTCTTATAATATTGTGTAGATTATAACTTATAATTTGTTTTCAATGCTCATCATCACATTGCACAACTTGGTAATCCACAACAAGGAGGTAACCCCGACTATGAGCACGTCTTTCTCCGTCCGTGTCAAGTTCTTGAAAAATTCTTTTACCCAATTCGGAAAGTTGGCTGTTGCTGCACTCCTCGCCGTCGGCCGGAAGTCTCACCTTCATTTGTTTCCCATCTTTACGTTGCGTCACCTACGTGAACATTAATTATTAGAGTGGGTTTATTTCAGCTTAGAGTAGAACCACCTCTAAGTTTCATATAGAATCAAAGTTCCATGGGGACTTTATTTAGCGCAAAAATTGTTTCAACTAGGAATATCTCCATTCTCCAGCACTGGACTATTGTTTAGTTTCATTATGAGTTTGACATTATGAATTGTATATGAAGCGATATAATGAAGCTTTATGTTCTACATCAACATTAAGAGATAGATCTTCTTTTGGTTCAATAAGGGTTATGACAGAAGCTTCGAATAGCTCTCTCATGTACTCTCTCTTGCTAAAAGTGGTTTGAATTATACCAAATTTGATCAAGTTAGAAATATGAATGGTTTTTAATAAAAAAAGAATAATTATGAAGAATTTGTGTGTTGCTCACCTTAGCAATTGTCATTGAAGTTTACTTTCAATTTGATTGATCTGGAGGAATTCTTTTTTTTTTTCATCTTCTAAAAATGGAACTAATTAGGAGGAAAAACTCTAATCCTACAAGAAAGAAAAAAAATTGACACAAACACTATGAATAAAAAATTTTACAACATTAAAATCTATATCGCATCAATGTAAGTATGCCCACGGCAAAACTTAAGGCTGCAATTCCGTTACCATGGTCAAATTATATTAATCAAAACCCGTTGCATAGCACGGGCTAATTAACTAGTTAATTAATTAAAAGCACAAGTTACTTTTTTAAGCATGTTACTGTTCCCTATGAGGAGAAAAAACTCCGACCCTCAAGTCCTTCGCCAAACACTGTTCATTGCATTTATTGTAGTCTTTTAATCCAAATTATAACCTACATTACGGTTGTATGCACAAATATATAAGGAATTACACATAAAGGGTTTTCCTACGTAGTATTTTGATTAAATGTGAAGTTTTTCATAATTTAGTTTTATTATTAGACAGCACATTACGAAATATTTAAGTAACATGCGGTGAAATAAAAGTTATGTACATTATATTATGTCAAACTTATGGAGGAATAGCTATTTTTTGTGTGTCAATTAAACAAAACATAATAGGGTGTGACTTTCGTAATTATACGTTAAACTTACGGAGAGATAGTAATTTCTATGTATCAATTAAAAAATATATTACGTAAGTCTTTCGTAATATAAGTTTTAAATAAAATATCAATTAAACAAAACATAATAGAATGTGACTTTCGTAATGATTAAGATATTACGTAAAACTTACGGAGAAATAGTAATTCCTATGTACCCATTAAAAAAATATTACCTAACTCTTCCATAATATAAGTTTTAAAGAAAATTTTTAATTATTAACTAAAAGGTTGACTATGTCATCAATTTTCATTACACAAATGTCCCATAAGATTAGTTTAATCAAATATGATCTTTTGTAACTTAATTATTTTATTATTAATTAAAATTCCACCACCTCATCAATTGCATTAGACAAAGGCTATGTGAGGTTAGTTAACTTCTATATAATATTTTAGTCCAATATGATACTTTTCATAGTTTGATTGTATTATTAGACCATACATTATGAAATATTTACAAAACACTATGCTATAAAAGTTATGTAATTATATTACATCAAACTTATGGAGGGTTGTTTTTTCTTATGTGTCAATTACAAAAAAAAATACAATAGGGTAATGATTAAATCATTTTGTAATCGAGATATATATATTACGTAATTCTTTCATAGTAAAAGTTTTAATGAATTTTTTTATATTATTAACTAAAAGGTTGATCATCTCATCAATTTTCATTACACAAAATTTTCATAAGCTAAATTAAATTTTGCATAATAATTTAATCAACTTTATAGTAATTTTATTTTATTATTAGAACACACATAACATAAAATTTATGCAACACAATTACACTACAGTTATTTAAATTATAAATACATTACGTAAATCTTTTGGATAGGTAGTTATTTCTTCTTTTTTTTTTTATGAAGGTGATCGAAATGCATTAGAACAAAACCCAAAAAAAAAATCCAGAGTTACAAAAGACAGATGACAGTTCAGAAGGTAGTTATTTTTGGATAGGTAGTTATTTCTTATATGTTTTAATTAAACAATCGTATGACGTAAGTCGTATCGCTGGAAGCGCATGCTAAAAAACTAGTGTATATATACACTAAGAAATAATATATATATATATATAAAGCGACCGCTGGTTGATCACATATTTTGTTAAATCGATAATTAACAGGAGTCTTAGCTAGAAAGAGAACCATGTACCTTCAAGCAGTGGCCGCAAGCTGCACGATAACTAGTGACGTTGTTGTTGGGTTGATGATGATCACCTCCATGGTTTGGGCAAAATGGAGGAGGAGGATGGTGATGCAGCTGGAGCATGGTTCTCTTTCTATGCAGCTGACCTTGTTCCACCGTCATCACCCCATCCATCGAGATATTGGCAGTAACAGTGGAGCATGGTGATGCAGCTGCTCCATTGCCATCATCAGTACTGTGACTGTCCATGTTATAAGCAGCTTCGGGCGGAGCTACGAAACAACCGGGAGTTGAATCTATGCACTGCAGTTGGCAATTAGGATAATGACAATAGGCGTCAGTATCCCCGCAGTATTCGGATGTGCTACAGCAACGCCTTCGGCCACATCCTGCGCACTCAAAGTGTCTGCCACATCTGTGATCATCCCTTTCGCCGCGAATCGCCACCGGACTCGCTGCTGCTAATATCAATAAAGCCACCGATGCCGCCAAAAGATTCAGGCCCTTCATTATATATATTTACTATGATGATGATCTCTTTAATTAATTCTCTCTTGCATGCGCTTGAATTTTGCTGCTGCAATTAATCTCTTGCTGCCTGCAGGCTTGATCATGTGCGTATGTATATATATGAATCGATTTACAACGTACGTACGGCTATCATCATTTCATTATTTTTTGGGGGTGTTTCTGGAGATGCCGATTGGCGATTGCCGGTCTTTTTTTTTAACGCGTTGAATCGGCATGGGTCTTGTTCTTGGGTTGTTTTGTGTTTGGAGTTTTGGAAGAATACATGTTGACTTGGATCGTTCGTCGGCCGGCGCTCTTGGATGCGTATCTGATTGTAAATATTCAACGGCAAGAATATATTGCCCTTGGCTACTATGTAGCTAGCAAGTATTCACTCACGGAATCGACACAACTCATTCTTGTCACACCTTGGCATAAAGCTCAAAAATTTTCGTTCACGTGTTACTTTTTAACGAATATAAAATATATATATATATCAAAAATTGTAGCAATATAATCCGAGTGAAACCATTCATATAATTGTTTTCTTTTTTTTTGTTGCCTTCCTCGTCATTTTTCTGTTGTATTGAAATCCACCTCATTCTTCATATTTGGTTATGCATTTTTACCCATCTCTTTCTTGCTCGAGCTCAAATAGGAAGGCCACAGAAAAATCTCTCGCTCCCCATTAGTAGTGTGGAAGTGGCCTGGAAACCAACAAAACTATATGCCACGTTCTTCCGTCTGCTCTTTTCCATGTCGACACAGAAACTTCGTAAATTCTCTAAATAACAATTGTCGAGCTCGAAATATGCAAATCATCATTCTCTAATTTGTAACCTTATATTGGTCAGCGAGTACAAATTGCTATGGACCTTTTCACGTCTTTGTGATTTTTTTTTCTTTTTTATTTAATTATTATTGCATTATCTTTCACTCACCACGAGACTCAAGCAAGAGGGCAAAATCTAGTACATATAGGAAATTAAGAGATTGGGTTGGTTATACCAAATGGGTGACAACAAATATGGAAAGAAAGACTTCTCCTAGTCTTCAATTCCCCCATCAACTAGATGAAAATTGTTTCAGCTGGGCCGTTTTAAACCTTAAAAAGCCCAACCAAAGTTGTCAATCATCTCTACTTGCAGCATAAGGCAAACAGTAAATGGTTATCACAGCTCCCTGGACTCCTCATCTCAACCTGACTGCAATGGACAGTGTATACAATAGCTTAAGTTCGAGTGTCAACTGACAATTAGAGCTTTAATGTAATCAAATACAGATACCAGGATCCCCTTCCAATGATGGTTCGGGGGAAACTGCAGATTCAAATCATGGTCTTTACCTGTATAAAAAAATTGTAGTCTTTACCCACCAAAATCATGATCCAGGAACACCAAAAAGCAGAAAATTTCCGGCCATCACTTTGAGAGCTCTCTGTCGACGTTCTACAGGCCTAGCTCCATGTGGTCATTCTTGTACCGATTCCCTCATCTCCTATTCTGATAAAAAAAAAAAAGAACGGTGCAGAAGGTCGTTTCAATGAGAGATTATCCAGTTTGATCTGTGCTAACTTACAGTTGAAACTGAGAGGTGTCAATAAAGGGAAGAAAGAAGAGCTCTTTTTGATGATGTCTACGAAGAGACGTTCATGGATCTTTGAAACCAAGAATATAATAAAACTAGACACAATTTAGCATATAGAACCTTATGAGGAAGTTCGTCGAACCGTGAACTCACCAGCCTGAATCCATGATGTTGAAAGACAAGATCAATCATCATCTTGAAGTTAGCCATTAGCCATCACCAAGTACTCCAAGCAATTTGCTTTGGCGGAGAATCTGCAGGGGTGGATACTTTTTTAGAGGAAATGACAACACATTTCCATATTTTGAACCAATTTATCTTCCAATTTCTTGCAGCTCAAACAAACACAGCAATATTTTTTTTTTTTAATTTCCGAGTGATATCAAGAAAGGACAATAGTTATACAAACAAAACTACCCAGCACAACTAGGCCGAGAGAAGCAAGAAAGAAAGATACATATTCTTTTTCATGACGAGTGCTAACAAATATTTATTGATCACCATTATATGCTCAACTTGATTTCACAACCAAGCATAACTAGGCACAGTTCAGCGTAATGACAAAACCACCAATACTTGAAGCTTACCAAGTAAGAATCAAGTGCTCATCAGCTTGATTCCGCCTGGCCTTCCTCTTTTGCCTTCTCCTCATAGATTGCCTAAACAGAATATTAAGCTTGCTTTAGCAGATAAAAATGATAGATAACTTTTGAAAACATATAGATAGCTGGTGAAGAAAGAAGAGAGGGAGGTAAGCCAAACCTGTAGTATCTGCGGGACATTGTTGTGCCACTCCACCTTTCTTAATGTATGCCCCGTAAATTCTTATGTTTGGGACATGGGAGATATTGTGCCAATATAAAGTCTCCTCCAACCCTAAACATTCATCAATTCTAATCTCTTGCAAAGAGGTTAGGTGTTGCATTCCCTGCAGCCATTCCTTTGGGAGGTAATCAATTCTCCACAAGTACAGTTTCTTCAGTTTTGACAGAGGGTACTGGAGGGCTTCCACTTCACTTGGAGAAGAGGGAGCTAATGATGATGATGAACAAGTAGCGCTAGATGGTAAATTAATCTGTCCTACTGGTAACATGGTCAACGTGTCTAGTAGCGGTAGTATGCTAGAGTTCATCAGCTTTAGCTTCCTATCAAGTGTTGGGAACGATGGCATAGAGGTTAACAGAGGGCATCCTGTTATGTCTAGAATGGAAAGTTTAGGGAATTGGTGAGGCTTCCTCCTCCATCCTTTCATTTGAGGACAATCAATCAAACAAAGTTCAATGAGGGAGGGGAAGAACAGTTTGGATGTTTTCTTTTGTGCACCTTCATTCATCGCCCATCCATCGACATCTTCATCATCACCTTCATCCATGTACTCCAGTTCAATCAATCCGAAAAGGTTGAGCTTTTGAAGGTTCGGCAATCCTTGCAAATGGTGCAAATTATGATGCACGTTGCACCAAACCAGTTGAAGAGAAACAAGCTGAGTGAGAGAACAAATCCAACTCGTCAATCTCCTTCCTTTGTGACCAGACACGCTTAAGAATTTCAAATTGGAGTGTGGTTGGAGGCTTTCCAGCATGCTTTCATCCCATTGAACATCTTCACATCCCTCTAAGTATGCTGCCCATTCTTCCATTTCTTTTGCACTATTTCCATCATCCCAACACAGTGACAAAGTTTCAAGATGGATCTTCTCCTTCAAATTAGCTTCCCTGCCGATTGTATATGCAAGTGATGTTGGTGACAACATTTTAGAACCACTAACATGTCCCAGATTCACAATCTGGAGTACACCTCTCAAGTTGCTGAGGGTTTTCAGCTCATTCAAGCCACCTAAATGCGTATGATCGGAACTACCCCTTTCCACCACAAACCATGGTAATGATTCAAGGCGGGCCAGTTCACCCAGCCCCACTGGCATGTGGGTCAAGGAGAAACATTCATGACAATTGAGGACCAAGAGATTCACAAGTTTGTGAAAGTTTTTAGGTAACTCTACGAGGCTTTCACACTTACAAAGGTCAAGCACCTGTAAGTTTAGCAGCACAGTGATAGAGATTGGCAATCTGTTTATTTTATCATTCCACGAAATATCCAAATACCTAAGATGTTTAAGTTCTTGAAGGTGATGCGTTATTTCCATCCTGGAGTTCTTAAAGTCAAGGACACGTAAACTTCCAGAATTTGAAACAAAAGTTTGAAAACTAGACACCTCCCATGTTGTCCCTGGCTGATACCATTCCCTATACGAGGCAGTAAACAAACGCGGTCGTTTAGCTTTAGCTTATTGAGATGCAACTTCGGAGGGACTCCATGAGGCATGGTTCAATGAAATGTAAGAAGTATTTTCGGAGATTTCATCTGCAAGACCATTTAATTGAGTGCATGTACACCCAGCTATTGAGACTGCAAGGTCATGGATCAAATCATGCATTTTACAGCTATATATGTTGCCGCTCCAATCCCGCTTTAGTTCTTGAAAAAAAGACCTCCAAGTCAAATCCACAAAATACTCAAGACCCAATGTATATAAACTCTTTTTAGAATCATTAGCTGACGAGTTAATAAGGCCGAGCGCAATCCATTTATATATGAGTGTATGAACACCAATTTCGTAGTCTTTGGGGAACCAACTACAGAACACAAAGCAACGTTTCAAATGTGAGGGGAGATAATCATAGCTCAGCTTTAAGTTGTGTAGTATGCTACCCTCTTGACCAACACCTAAAAGTTTATCAGACCTAAGAAAGGACAACCACTCGGTTTCTGGATCTTTGAAATACATCAAGGCAGCTAATGTTTTCACAGCTAAGGGGACCCCGACAGACTTTTTCATTACCTCTGTTTGAATCTCTTCCATGTTCATTGTGTTTAGTGGTTCGTTGGCTAATTGTTGGTCGCCACCAGAAACTACCAGCCTGAGCAATGACCATGATTGTGGGGAGGATAGTCCGTTCAAAACATGAGGTGGATGAGAAGAACCACGACTCATCATTGTGGCATAGTTCTCAAATCGGGTAGTGACTAAAATCTTGCTTCCACTAGCACCACCCTTGAGTATAGATCTCAACACCTCCCATTTTCCAAGATCAAAGTTCCATACATCGTCCAACACCAGAAGGTACTTTTCCCCACTAACGTATCCCCGAAGGTGATTTGCCAGAGTCTCGAGTTGAAGACTTGGTCGTTTCTCTCCCGTGGCTGCCTCTAGAATCTTTTGAACAATTACATCAATCTCAAAAGACTCTGACACACATACCCACAATCTCAACTTAAACTCTTGCTCAACTTTTTTATCATTGTAGACAAGCTGAGCAAGAGTGGTTTTACCCATCCCACCGATGCCAACTATGGAAACCACAGAGACGGTACTGCTACTATCGTTGGCTAACAAAAGTTCCTTAATATGCTCTGCATCATCTTCTCTCCCAACAAATATGTCGGGGATGGAAGACATGGTGGGGGTATGCTTTCTCATCTTCCCCGACTCCTCAAAGCGAGGAGTCAAGTGCAATTTGGTGTTATCAGCGTGTATGGCTTCCAATTGCTCCCTAAGTGTCTTAACTTTATGAGCCATTTTAAGACCATAAATCAATCGATTTGGAACAGATAAGAGGAAGCATACCGCAGCCAAACATCCGATCTTGCACCTGTTGAAGGAGTCATCACGATGCATACCATCATGGTCCTGTGTGGCTGCTTCCTCCCTCAAAGCCTCAGTAGCAACATCGTCAAGTAGATCCTCGGTGTCAAGCAACAAGACCTCCAGTTTCTGGAGCCAGTCTTTGACTTGATGACTGTGCTCTTGCTGCTCCTCTGCATCAAGTAGAAGTGCCTGGATGGAAGTCATGGTGCCATCCAGCTTCTTGAGTTCAGATCGAAGGTTCCACAGCAGAGCTGCCTCCTGTTGAACAAAAGGACCCAACTTCTCAAGAATTGTTTTGCCAACGCTGAACAGAGAAATAGAAGCCATCTTTATGGTGAAAGGGGAGTAGAGAAAGAGAAAAGTTTGCTGGTTATTTGGTTGTCTGTGTAATGAACTGAAATGCAACCCCTTATTTAACAAGTCAGAGATCATCGACAATTTTATCAAGTTATCATCAAGTAATCGTTGACTAATTGTCGAGTTGGTAGCTTATCAGCATCACATGGGCTGGCATTCATTTGCTAATTCTGATTAATGTTTTACTCCCACTATGGTATGACATTAGACTAACATTGATTAACATATATATATTAATCAACTAAAGATTCCTGGATCAGGCCAACTTTCAAGTTCCCACACCATTTCTGAAGAGTGATGGAGAAGACTGAGTTGGCAATTAGCACCCATCATGAGACAAACAAATAGTATGCTGTAGCTCTTACGACTTCAATCGTCGTTGTAAACAGTTTTCTACAGAGTTCAATCTTATTAGCAGCCAACTCAGAACTCGACAAGTGAGAGTAGTAAGAGGAGGTACCTGGCCTGGCCACAGTGGCTCCCGAGAATTCACATGCCCTGCTCCGCTTTTCCGGCGAAGACAACCCCACGAACTAACAAAAATAGAATCAAGCTTTTAAGTAGAAACCATGGGTTTCATAGATGGCGACAACTTAAAACATTCAGGCGATAGCTGAAAGAGGGCTAGGTTGGATTGCAAAGGAAGGAATAAACCGGACCTTGTTAAGTCAATGATCCGTTGCCGCCATCGGGATTCGGGACCAGTTTCTCGCCGGCGCCGGGGCAGACCAACCATATTCCCCTCGCCATCTCTTGTCTCGCAGGTCGCAGCTCTTTCGGTTGGAGAAATTGGCAAGAACAAAATATTTTATTTTTCTAACTAGCTTATAATCCGGTCCGTTGGCCGGACTGTTCATATTTTAATATTTATATTTTTATGTTAAGTTTAAGTCTATTGATTTGTTTAAGTTTATTAAAAATCATTCAATCGAGATTCTACATAAAGAATGAATATATGGGTCGAATATTCAAGAAAATACCCTCCTCATTTAAGAATATAAAAATGTATCATTAATCCCATTTTCATAATGATAATTGAGCTCCCATTAAAATGATATTGGTTAATAGATTGTCCGGAAATATATAATATAAAAGCTCATTGAAATTCTCACACGATCCATAGATAGTTTGAAACTGAAATGAAACTTCACAATCCCACATAAATGGTTCAAAGCTCTCCTCTATGAATAACAGGCCACTAATAAAAAGGAAATGGATTTATAAAAAAAATGAAGAGTTGTTGATTCAAGTAAATCATATGCTAACAACTCAACTAAAAGGAAACCATCAAAACTTGAAAGTAAATGACAAAATTAGAATTACATCCAATATACTAATAGACTTGGTCAAAGTAATGAGACACAAAATTAGACACTCCTTATCTACAAGTTCGAGTAGTTTCAATAGTGAATCGACATTAACTTTAGTAAATCAATCAATGATTCCTCGTTTTAACATAAACATAGGTTGTGGTAGTTGCAACAACCATAACACCTAAAGATCCAATAGTTTCCACTCTCCGTTGTACAAACAACTTTTTATCCCCTCCATCTTCAATCTCTCGACGTATATGTTTTAAACCAAAATTCAATTTCTAATCCTCCTTCTGCAACTCCATTTATGCTACTTTGATGGACCAGCTCTCCATGAACCTGAATTTCTCTTTCAATTGAGTTTATTGTCAGTTTGATCTCCAACTCCTCAATCCTCTTTCTTGTATTTGGCCAACTAATCCTCCTCGGGGCAGTTTTAATAAGCTCGTAAAACCAACACTCATCTTCAATTCCATCAATATGCTCTTCTCCTCCTTCTCTGCCTTCACCTGATCCAGTTCACTTCCATGCCCTTTCAATACCCTCTCCATTTTCATTAATATCTTGATCATCTACCACTTCTCTCTCTTCAACTGCTCCGATTATGCTTCTATGTCTTTCAATACCCTCATTGGTTAAATCACTACCCTGACCAACTGCCTCTTCACTGTCTTCACTTGCTGCAAACTACTTCCATGACTTTTTATACACCTTCCTCAAAATCACCATCAACTAACCAATATCAATCCATGGCCTTGGATCAGTTTTAGACTCTCTATGAACATCTCAATACCATAAAGTCTAAATCAAAATATTCTTTCAGTTAATCATGAACTTGAGTTTATCAAAATCTAAACCACTCCTTCTAAGTTGGAATTCCCATTCCCCAAGCTCATTTTTTGTTCATTTGATCCCACATAACCATGATATTATACCTCTAACTAAAATAAATCAAAGCATTTTACGAAAAGAAACCGAACCATGAACTTTACCTGCTACCAAATCCAAACACAATTTCTTCCCCTCACCACTTCCCTTAATCCCTTCCCAAACCCAATATCAACTTTTACTCCAAGTACACACCCCCAACTCCCAGTGTGTTGCGTGAAAGCTTAATTTTAGCAATAATTATGCTTGTAATTAGATTAATGGACACCAACAAGCGCCAAAATTCCACCAGACGATGAGTTGTCTTCACTTTGAGTTTTGTAATAAAACTGCTGGCCCCATATGTTTATCAGTTTGGAGGCCATATGATGAGCAATACCGAATCAGTTGCAGCGAAGTTACCGGTCACAGTAATGACAATGTGAAACACGTGTTAACAAACGCGAATATGGGTTACTTTTATGGATTGACATTAGAATGATGGGATTGGACAATGAGATCGTCCTTAGTTAAGCGACATGTAAATTGGTCATTTGGTATGGAGGACATAAACCGTTAAAATTCTAAATTATTTGGGTGAGTTTGTATTTAGTATTTTCAAAATCGTGGTATATGATTTAGGTGATTAAAATATCTAAACCCAAACGAATCGACCCACGCACACCCTTAGGAAGAGTTTCAAACTTAGTATTTAACCGGACAAAAATATTCAGAGAACCAGTCCCCTATAGTTTGCACAAAGATATGATTGTTTCACTATAGTTCTGAAAAATAATGCTAATTTAAGAACTCTATATCG